CACACACACACACACACACACACACACACACACACACACACACACACTTTTCAGGTTGCTCTTGAGAAAGAAAATACACTAAATGACTAGCAGATGATTTACAAGGACATAATTAACAACAAGAACACCACAAAATCTGATTTATGTTAATACCCATCTTTCAAATCCCAGTTTAACCTGAACAGGATTAAGAATTCTATAAACAATGAAATTACTTCATTTCACCTAATCTGAAAATGAATGTTTAGCACACTGTTTTAATTACATAGAAACAAACTTGGAGGAATGAGCATTTCATTAACAGGTTAAAATCTGACATAAAGGTAATCAACAACATACAACTATACAAACATTTTCTCCCAGTTACAAAAGGCCTTCATGAGACAACATGATGAACTGTCTAAACTTTACATATTTCAGTGATTGTAAAAAGTTAAGACTTACAACAGAATTTCTAAGTTTTTCAGGCAGTGGATCTTTTACTTCAGACAGAGGATCTTCTGGATTTTTCTCTTCTGTTTTTGGAAAAATCTTAGATTGCACCAAAGAGCTTGAAATTTTAAAAAATGAAAAAATAATAAGAAATACATTCATAACCTGAAAACCAGTACTTAAAGGCAAATGAAACTTATGATAAAAAATGAAGTGTTTCAAGTACATTTAGTCATTAGCAAATGAAAATGCCTAAAAAATTTAAGATGTTATAAATAAGCATACAATGAGAATATTTTTATTAAAATATAGTTTTAATACTTTTTAGGAAAGAAAACGCTAACAAATATTCTCAGCCAAATTGGCTAGAATGTTCCAAAGTTAATATATTTGAAACTTAATATAGATTAAGTGAACGGTACTTTGACAAGGCAGTGGGAAAGTTAAACTTGAAAGAAATGTGAACTTATGTTTCTTTAATTCGGTAACCATTGATTTTACTTACAAAAGTACAGAGGGATCACTGCTTTGTCGACTGAGATGATAGGATATTGCCACTAATAAACCACAAAAAATGGAGAAAAGTACTGGAATATGCTGGCCATCCCAAGAATCCTGTTGGGGGGAAAAAAAAAGTTTCACAGAAAAATCTGCTTCTCACTTATCATCTATCATACAGTCCTTTTATGTCAGTATTTTGGAGGAAGATAATTAAATTGAACAGAAACTTGTCAGCTATATTATTAATTGCATTTTATTCCACATAAATTTAGATTTATTATTTTTTAATGAGCTAGAATCTAGCTAACTAGATCACCTTCAGATAGGAATAATACATTTGCTTCTGCTATGTCCTCCTGTCCAATTCTTTCATATTTTAAGTGGTATTAAGCTTATGGTAAGCTATGTTCTCCCTTTAGAAATACAAAGGAACTTGGTATACCACATGTTTGATTATATATAATAATAAATCAGGGAAAAGGCAACAGATTGTACAACACATTAGGTACAGAAGAATATTCACACTGGTGTGCTTTTGTCCTGATATCTTTGCTCATAATATGCCATTATATCTTCCAGAAAGTTGAGTAGGCATTCAGTGCTCTTGAATAATGAACTCCATATTCCCCATAATAAATAATGCAAAGGCTAGCTTCTAAAGCCAACCAAACGTGGATGTGGATATGTCATGTCATATCTGCTCACTGCAATTATCTCTGGAGTCTACTGGCATGGGAATTGGCAGACAGTAGATAATACTGATGAAAGGAATAGTTAGAAGTTCTTAAGTATGGCCTATGACGTAAACAGCACTCTATTCCTTCTTTCTCTGGGGATTCAAGAAGGGAGAATGGTAGGAGTGGAAATCCAAATTGTATTTTATTATACAACTTGCTTCCCCCCACCCCATTTAATAACAGTCTTGAAAATTATTACATAACATACAGACCTTTTTTAACGGCCACATCAAAATATCATTATCATCATATTGAACATTATGTGTCAAGCCCCATTCTTAGATCTATGCTAAGTATTTCTTAAACAATTCTCACTACCATCCTTGAAGATATGTTCTATTGCTCCCCAACTCATAGGTGAGAAACTTAGGCACTTCTAGAGGATACAAGTAATTTGTTAAGTGGTAGAGCCAGGAACTGAACCTCCAGATTCTGGATTTGCTGAGAAGGAAGTTAAACAATATAGAAGAGTTTGAGAATGCAAGAGAGATAAATACATAAGGAAAAAAAGAAAAAGAGAAAACAAAATGTATGTAAGAATAGCATTTGCACAGTGATAATAAGGGAAACATATGAGGTGTACAAGAGAGATAAGGAAGACCATAAGGGAGAGAGGTGGGGCGAGAAGTGAAAGATAAGTTAAGCCTACAATGGCCATAAAGCACAGTCCATGGGTAATACCTAAAATTTGACAAAATATAAGAAGTGTGAGTTAGTTAATTAAACATAGGGAGGTAAATACCAAAAGAATCAGCTCAAAGAACTGAAAGTGGTAACTCTGAGGCAGGGATAAACAGGTAGGAGATTTTTGTTCCTAGAGATAAGTCTTGTAGAAATACCTGACTCTTTGAAATACATACAAGAACAACTTTACTGAACATTAAATCTAGGGGTGCCTGGGTGGCTCAGTCGGTTGAGCGTCTGACCCAGGCACCCCCAAATTTAGCTTTTAATGAGCTAAAAAGTTCAAGGAAAAATGGAAGAGTAACACAAGGAAGCAGAAATCAGAAAATAATAATGTAAAAGTCCATATTAATGAATAGATAAAAAGGAAAACCATTTCTAAAGGCATGCAGTGATGTCTCCCAATGTGTCTAACTGCCTAGAAGCAACTACTGTTGTCAATTTCTTGTATATTCTTCCATAATTACTCTATGTCTATACATACAAGTCATTGGTGTATGTGTGTGTGTGTTTTAATATTTTTTAATGTTTATTTCTGAGAAACAGAGCACAAGCGGGGGAGGGGCAGCAAGAGAGGGAGACACAGAATCCGAAGCAGGCTCCAGGCTCTAAGCTGTCAGGATAGAGCCTAACGCGGGGCTCAAACTTGTGAACTGTGAGATTATCACCTGAGCCGAAGTTGGACACCAACTGACTAAGCCACCCAGGCGCCTGTGTGTGTTTGTGTGTGTTTTTAAAGCACAAAGGAAACATCCATTTTGGGGCATATACCTTCCTTCTGATTAAAAGAAATACATTACCTTCCTTTTTATTGAAAACACACACATACACTCAAGAAAATGTGATATATATAGATATATATATATAGATATATATATAGATATATATAGATATATATATAGATATAGATATATATATAGATATATATAGATATATATATAGATATAGATATATATATCTCACACATTCAGGAATATTATTCAACCTTAAAAAGGAGGAAAATCTTTTCATTTGCAACAACATGGATGAAAGTGGATGGCATTATAATAATTGAAATAAGCCAGACAGAGAAAGGCAAACACTGCATGGTGTGTGTGTGTGTGTGTGTGTGTGTGTGTGTGTGTATGTGTGTGTGTGTGTGTGTGTGTGTGTGTGTTTTAACAAAAAGTGGAATTTATAGAAACATAATACAAAAGTGGCTGCCAGGGATTGGGATGTGGGGGAAATAGGGACAGGTTGGTAGAAGAGTGCAAACTTTCAATAAAGGTCTAGATGGAGGGTGCCAGAAATGAGTGCAGGTAAAAAGGTATGAACACTTCCAGTTATAGGGTAAGTCATGAAAATGTAATATAAACCATGGTGACTGTATTTAATTTTTTTTAATGTTATTTTTGAGAGCGAGAGAGACAGAGCATGAGTGAGGGAGGGGCAGAGAAAGAGGGAGACACAGAATCTGAAGCAGGCTCCAGGCTCTGAGCTGTCAGCACAGAGCCCGGCGTGGGGCTCAAACCCACGAACCGTGAGATTATGACCTGAGCTGAAGTTGGATGCTTAACCAACTGAGCCACCCAGGCGCCCCTGTGGTAACTATATTTAATAACACAGCATTGTGTGTTTGAAAGTTGCTAGGAGAGAAGGTCTTAAAAGTTCTCATCAGGATATACATTAAAAAACCTTTGTAACTGTGTGCTGAAAGATGTTAACTTGACTAACTGTGGTGATCATTTCACAATACATACAAATATCAAATATACATTGGAAACTAATATAATGATATATGTCAATTATACCTCAATTAAAAAACTAAATAAAAATAAACAAAATCTTTTTTTAAAAAGGATAAGGTCTAAGGCTCTACTGTGTAACAGGACTAGACCTGATAACACTGTATTATATCATTGAAATTTGCTGAGAGTAGAACTTAAATGCTCTCACACACAAAAAAGATATGAGGTGAATAATGTATTAATTAACTTGATGAGAGAAATCTTTTCATAGTGTGTGTGTGTATCAAATATCACATACACTTTTAGTAGCTTACAATTTTGTCAATTATACTTCAATAAATCTTGAAAAAAAACAAATGGTTTCTCTTGAAAATCATTCCATATTAGCACCTAAAACTCTGTTTTAAGTCTGCAGGTTTATTGTAATGGGTGACACCTAAAAGTAAAATGTCTAGTAGAAACACCACATCCAATAACGAAGGAAAATAATTTATCTTCCTGCCTGCCTTTAGGATACAAGGTTCTGGTTTGCAGTTTTCTAATTGCTAGATAATTATAGTTAAACAGCCCTTTGTGCGCTGGGCTAGAAAAGTTATCGCACTGCTGTGACTGCAACTTCTAAATAACGACTCAGTTTCCAAAACAGGACTCAAAGCACAGATCTAAAACCTTTACACCAGGATGGTTTACAGGCAGTACACCTGGGAGAAGCTTGCATTTGGATTTCCTTGTCTCTAATTGCTTCCTGGGATTAGCCCCATCAAGTATTTCCCTCTCTACTGGGTTTTCCCTCTCTCCTTATAAATGTAATCAAGTCTTAGATCTTTCTAAAAAATAAAAACTTGAGGGGTGCCTGGGTGGCTCAGTCAGTTAAGCATCCGACTTTGGCTCAGGTCATGATCTCACAGCCGGTGGGTTGGAGCCCTGCATCAGGCTCTGTGCTGACAGCTCAGAGCCTGGAGCCTGCTTTGGATTCTGTGTCTCCTTCTCTCTCTGCCCCTCCCCATGCTTGTGCTCTGTCTGTCCCTTAAAAATCAACATTAATATATATAAATAAATAAATATAAAAACTTGGAAACAACCTCCACTATGTAAAAATTTCCCAACTGTATTTTAGAAAGAGTATCTTACAGGGCACCTGGGTAGCTCAGTTGGCTGAGTATCCAACTCTTGATTTCAGCTCACTTCACTGATTTCAGTCTGTGGGATCGAGCCTCACTTTGGGCTCCGTGCTGAAAGCAGGAAGCCTGCTTGGGATTCTCTCTTTGCCCCTCCCCAGCTCACGTGTGTACGCATTCTCTCTCGAAAAAAAAAATTTTTTTTAAGCTTTTAAAAAAGTATCTTACCTTAATCCTTAATATTTTGCAAACTCAAGCTTGTATTAATCTAGCTTCCTCTGCCAAAACACCAAAGAAGCTGTTTTATTGAAGTCACCCATCACCTATTAACTGCCAAATGCAATAAAAGCTTTTTTTCAGACAATATTGCCTCTGAAGTGTCCTTTGTGGGATTCTGTTCTATCCATCACTTAAATACCGGCATTTTCCAGGGTTCTATTTGCATCCATTTCCTCGTATCAATCCAGGTTAGCAGTCTTTTATTTACACTTTAATGAATTCTAAATCTTTTAACCATTACCTCAAACCTCTCCACATATCACTTCCTACTATGCATCTCTAGATACCCCATAAATATCAACAAATAAATGTGTCCATATACGTAAACAACCACCTTCCTTGCTAAACTCAAAGATTTGTAATCTTAGGCACAAGTATCTCTGTCTAACCATTTGTTCAAGCCAGACCCTACCCAGAAGTCATACTGGACCCTCTTCTTTTTTCTCATTATCCATAGAGTCCCTAAATATATTCACTAAATCCAATTTTAGTTAGGTCCCTCTTAATTTCAAGACTGCAACACAACTGACCCACTTCTGATCCTTCCTGCTTATATTTCAATCTCCTTCACACCAGAGACCAAGTAATCTCTCTGAATTGCAACACTGATCATTTCTTTACCTTACCTTGAATATTCAGATGGCCTTTCATTTCCACCCCAAAATGTTCAGGATAAAAGAGAGTTCATAATGCAGCCAGTGCTTTCCTTTCCAGCCTTACCGAAAGCCATCTTTCCGCATGTACCCAAACCTCCAGCAATTCCAAATTATTTGCTGTTTCCTGTACATAACACACTTTCTTTACAACTCCATGGCTCTTCATCCCTTGTCTCAACTAACAAATTTCTATTTGTCTGCCTTTGGAAAATTATCTCTAATCCCTTTTGACTGAATAAGGTAGTATCTTAACTTCTGTACCTGTACCACTCTGTTTTCATAGCCTTCCTCATCCTCTACTCAAAGTGCTGGCTGACTCATTAATCATAGCTAACATATAAGCAACTTAAGAGCAGGAAATGGTGTTTAGCACAGTACTGGGCACACGGTAAATACTCCCTAAATGCAAATGAATAAATGATGCAAGAAAGGATACCATGAGGCACTTTTCTTAGTCCTTGCAACCCTATCATTCTCTGATTATCTTGCATTAATTATAAAAAAAATAATAATAATGCCATGGGTTACGAGTTGTGTACAAGAAATCTGGGGCACCTGGGTGGCTCAGTCGGTTAAGCATCAGACTCTCGATTTCAGCTTAGGTCATGATCTCACAGTTCGTGGATTAGAGCCCCACATTGGGCTCTGTGCTGACAGTGCGGAGCCTGCTTGGGATTCTCTCTCTCCCCCTCCCTCACTGCCCCTCCCCCCACCTCAAAATAAATAAACTTTAAAAAAAATTTTAAGAGTTGTTTACAAGAAATTTAAATTTTTTATGTTTACAACTTGGTGATAATCTTCATTTAATTTTATTTATTTTGAGAGAGAGAGAAAGAGAGAGCATGAGTACACAAGCAAGGCAACAGCAGAAAGAGAGGGAGAGAGAGAGAATCCCAAGTAAGCTCCTCAGTGGCAATGCTGAACCTGATGCGGGGCTGGATCTCACAAACCATGAGATCATGACCTGAGCTGAAATCAAGAGTCCAATGTGCAACTGACTGAGCCACCCAGGTGCCCCTGATGGAGCTAATTAAGGCTCATCCAGATCCTTCTAAACCAGTAATGACATTAAATTTCACTGCATAAATTTTTACTGGAATTATCTTAAATTGCAGTCCTCGTGCTTGTGCCTACACATTTTAAGAAATCTTGATATGAACAGTAGTTACATTTTGTATTTTGTTATTACCATGCCCACCTTTACCCCAGACCAACCTAGTTCTAATAATGTTTCGAATTTTGACCTATAATTACCGTGTGGAAAAGGATTTTTTTTTTAAATAAATGTTTATTCATTTTTGAGAGAGAAAGCATGAGTTGGCGAGGGGCAGAGAGAGAGGGGGACAGAGGCTCTGAAGTAGGCTCTGCGCAGACAGCAGTGAGTCTGATGCAGGGCTCGAACTCATGATCCATGAGATCATGATATGAGCTGAAGTCAGATATTCAAATGACTGAGCCACCCAGGCACCCCCAAAAGATTTACTTTTAATAATGGGTAACTATGAAACTGCTTTGGAATTCAAAGTAAATGAGAATGAGAATAATATTCAACACGTGAAGATCATGGAAATTAATGCTAAAGTGGTCTGAGGGAGCATGGGGAGAGGGAGGCTTAAATCATTATTAGTCAATTTAAAACAATCTCCATAAAGAAAAATAGCCTTAAAGACAAAATCATACTACAATGTACCACTCACCTTTAAAGCCCCATAACACAATCCATACAGTAAGGCTACCGCCACAATGCTACAGATAAAACTGTAAAGGGCTGCAAGCAAGCTTGTAGTGGCTAGAGGGGAAGGGAAAAAAGATTTAGTATTTTATAAACATTTATGGAAAACACATCTGAAAAGGTCACTGAAAAATATTTAAAATGGTATAATGTTGACTACAATGAAATATCTACTCATTTCACTTTTAAAAATTCAGTTATGTCATCCTATCCTTTCCAGAGATTTTGAAACGACAAAGATGTACTATCCACAATTTTTGATACAAGACAAAATATATTCACCTTGTAAGTAATGAAAATTTACACATGGCAGAAGAAATTGGATCTATATTATGCTTCAAGAATGTACCTTATTATTTAGAGAAGTATGGGAAAATGAAGCTTGCAGAGGCCTAAAAAGGAACTGGTGATATATTAGGTATTCACTAAAACTATTAGTCTCTGTAAACAGAATGTGCATTACCCAAAGAAGTCAATTTATATTCTCATGTGTTAATTCTCACAAAAAAGTACAGATATGACTAATTACTAACTAACTAACTAACAACTAACAACAACAACAACAAATAGATCCACCTCCTCAATAAGTGGTGCTGGGAAAACTGAACTAAGTGCAAAGAATGAAACTGCACTACTCTCTCACACCATACACAGAAATAAGCTCAAAATGGATTAAAGACCTAAATGTTAAGACACGAAACCTTAAAACTATAAAAGAAAACATAGACAGTAGTCTCTTGGACATCAGTGTTAGCAGTATTTTCTTGGCTCTGTCTCCTCAAACAAAAATAACAGAAGCAAAAATAAACAACTGGGACTACATTAAACTAAAAAAGCTTTTGCAGAGTGCAGGAAACTAACAACAAAACAAAAAGACAACCTACTGACTGGGAAAAGATATCTGCAAAGGACATATTCGATAAAGGGTCATTATCCAAAATATATGAGGAACTTATACAACAGAGCACAAAATGGGAGAAAAAAAAAGAAAATAATTCAATTAAAAAGTGGGCAGAGAACCTGAAGAGACATTTTTCCAAAGAAGATATACAGATGGCCAACAGACTCATGAAAAGACATTCAACATCACTAACCATCAGGGAAATACAAATCAAAACCACAATCGGGTATCACCTCACACCAGGCAGAGTGACTAGTATCAAAAAGAAAAGAAAGAACCAGCGTCAATGAGGATGTGAAGAAAAGAGAACCCTCGTGCAACTACTGATGGGCTATAAATTGGTGCAGTCGCTAAGGAAAACAGTATGGAGGTCCTTTAAGGAATGAAAAATACCATAGGATCCAGTAATTCCACTTCTGGGTATTTACGCAAAGAAAATGAAAACACTAATTCAAAAAGATATATTCACCCTTATGTTTACTGCAGCATTCTTTACAATAGTCAAGATATGGAAGCTATCTAAATGTGCATTGACAGATGAATGGATAAAGAAGATGTGTGTATGTATACTATGGAGTATTATTCAGCCACAAAGAAGAATGAAATACTGCTGTTTGCAACAACTTGGATGGATCTACAAGATATTATCCTAAGTGAAATAAGTCAGACAGAAAAAAAATACCATAGGATTTCACTCGCATGTAGAACCTAAAAAACAAAACAAACAAAACACAGAAACAGACTCGCAAACACATAACTGGTGGTTGCCAAATTGGGGGAATGTGCAAAATAGGTAAAAGGGATAAAGAGACAAACTTCCAGCTAGAAAATAAATAAATCACAGGGATGAAAAGTACAACATAGGGAATATAGTCAATAATATTGTAATAACTTTGTAGAGTGACAGATGGCAACTGCATTTATGGTGGTGAGCATTTCTCAACGTACATAATTGTTAAATCACTGTGTGGTGCACCTGAAAGTAATAATAATATTCTATGTCAACATACAACTATGCTTCAATAAAAGATTGAAAATTTTTTTTAAAATTCTGTTCTTACAAGTGGAAAAAATAGGTCCAATGGAATTACTAATAATAAGGACTAGGGAATGGCTAAGATAGCTTTTATTTTTAAAATATAGATAAAATATAGATTTTTGTTAATAGTGATTTTACATAGTAAACATTTTTAAAACACCTACAGGAAAAACTTTTCTTTAGGAGATATTTAAAAAACTAACACCTTGCACAACTTTGTAACCGACCATATAATGACTACTATAAATTACCTACTCGAAGCCCTCTCCATACCCTAAATACTGAAACTGTCTTCCACCCATTAAGTTCTGCTGAAATTCACACTCCTTCAAAAATTTTTCGAAAACTTAAAAAATGCCCTAGGTACATATCAACATAGGAAATGCTTAGTTTCTATTTAAAATTTAAGCCACAACAACATTTTATCAACATAAAGAAGTCTGAAGAGAAATGGACCATAAAAGTTACAGTAATTTCTTACCCTTTCAATATGTTTTCCCTAGTTGTCCACTCATCTTTCAAGTAAAATTTTAAATGGTTAAAATAAATAACAATGTATTTTAACCACAGTGTGTGCCAATAAAATTATTTTCAAGTTCTGCAAATCATTACCTATTTCAGGGTAATACTGGCATGGTCTTTCTCTTTTTCAAAATAAAGTATAAATGTAAGAGGGGAATAAATTTCTAAGTATATCAGTTCACAGCCACATATTCTACTCTAAAAACAGATACTTCTAAAAATCTTATCTAGTTAAATACTTTTACTAAAAGCAGCTGGTTTTGATGTTCCCATTCTAAAGAAATAATAAAGCTCTGAAACCATATTCAGAGACATACCAAATATATACACTAGTTCAAAATACATTGGCATGTGTCGGGGTCAATCCATTTGGGATAGATAACTTTTAAATATTTCATACATCTATACAGATTCTACCTAAACTCACTACAGCTTCTAGTTTTTGACAATAGAACGCCATCACTTCTTACAAAGTAACTCCGCTATTCCTGGATCTTTCAATAAAGTGGCAGACTTTACTTTTTTCTATCTACAAATTAATTCCTGCTCAGTCTTTATCAAATAAATGCCTTTTTTCTAATTGAAATTCTAAAATGAAAACTGGAAAAGTATTTTAATGTTCAGTTTATTACTTAATGACCTGTAAAAGTAATACTGTAACCTGTTGTGTTTAAAAGGAAGTACTCACCATTACCACCAAAGATATGAATATCCAATTGTTCACAAAGGTACATAACAAACGTATTCACCTGAGGCAGGAGACCAATGAAAAACACTATTGGGAAACAGAGTGTAAACACTACAGAAGAAAAGAAAAGCATATTAAAAACAGTATACACATCCATCCTTCTGTTCATTTTAAAATCATAAAATGATTTTAAAAATCCAAAATGAATATAAACTACTAAGCAATTTTTAAAAAGATACCATTTTAAGTTATTTCTCTCTGCATAACTTCTTGTATTTTAAATAATTTTTTTCTTTTTTTTATTTAAATGTTTGTTTGAGAGAGAGAGAGAGAGAGAGAGAGAGAGAGATAAAGAGAGAGAGAGAGAGAGAGAGAAAACCCCCGAGCAGGCTCTGCATTGTACACTGTCAGTGCAGAAGCTAACACAGGGCTCGAACCCATGAACCAGGAGGTCATGACTTGAGCTGAAATCAAGAGTCAGACCCTTAACCAAGTGAGCCACTGAGGCACCCCTAATTTTTCAATGGCAAAGAACAGCTTTTAAAGTTATTTCAACCATTTTCATATAATAGTAACCTGCAATACAGAATCCAAAGGAAACCTTCCATTGCATCTGTTTCAAGAACAAAAGAATTAGTATAATATGTGTTCATCATTAATTTTTTTCATTCATAATAGCCCTACAGTTTTGTTCCTCACTGAGAAAATTATAATAAACAGCAAAGTAAGCTTCTTAAAACCATTTTACCTATTTATCAGGGAACTGTTTGTATACAAATAAATTAGTGTTAAGATCTGAAATTAAGATGACTCACCTATAACTAAATCCCTGGCTGATATCAGCACCAGTGGATTAGTGAAAGTTATTCCATATAATTTGAACTTGGTTGTAGTAAGGTTTCTGCTACCATAATCCAAGAGCCAAATAAGACCACAACACAAACAGAAATAAACTGGTCTACTGTAGGCAATGATACGATTATGGCCCTGAAAATGATACAAAAACAAAGTCAAGTTAATTGATTTTAAGAATCACAACCAGCTAGTGAGACCTGTGATGGCTTATATTCTAAGGATTCAAAATGCATCCATATGGAAGCCAAGTTTCTGACTGTGGCAGAAGGGAATTACAAACATGGGAAGGAAGAAGAATCAAATGAACCCTGTGATACTGGGCTGAAATTCGAGGTATCGGTACGAACTTATTATTATTTTTTAATTCAATAGTATTTATTTATTTTTTTAATGTTTATGTATTTTGAGAGACAGAGAGACAGAGTGCGAGCAGGAGAGGGGCAGAGAGAGAGGGAGACACAGAATCCAAAGCAGGCTCCAGGCTCCGAGCTGTCAGCACAGAGCCCGACGCGGGGCTCAAACTCCCAAACCGTGAGGTCATGACCAGAGCTGAAGTCGGACACTTAACCAATGAGCCAACCAGATGTCCCTGAAGTTATTATTTTTAATACACACATAACTAAGATATAAGATGTGTGTATACATCTATGCATGCACATATGTATATACATAAATATATTTCCTAGCTTTATCCAGAGACGACCTAAAAGCAATGGCATTCAAGTAATAAAAATTACTGGCATCAAGATCTTAGTTAAAAAAAAAAAAAATTAATGCTTATTTTTATTTTTGAGAGAGAGACAGAGACAGAGACAGAGCGTGAGCAGGGGAGGGGCAGAGAGAGAGAGAGGGAGTCACAGAATCTGAAGCAGGCTCCAAGTTCTGAGCTGTCAGCACAGAGCCCAATGTGGGGCCTGAACTCACAAACTGTGAGATCATGACCTGAGCTGAAGTTGGATGCTTAATCAACTGAGCCACCCAGGCACCCAAAATCTTAGTTCAGAGATAACATTATTTGTTAAAAAAAAAAAAAAAAACAAAAACAAAAACAAAAAACCAGGCCTTCACAGAGAAAAGGCTGATTTTGGGCTAGGGTTAGGGAAATTATAAGATAAGCCTGGAACATATTATTGTGAAAAGGAAGGAAGTACTTAAAGAGTGATAAAGATATGTCAAAGGGACAGAAAGGGCAGGTTGGTGAACTCCCAATGGCCAGATAAGGAACAATTTGTGCATCAAAATAAATAATATTACTAACATTATTGTCCACTGAATAAAATATGAATCCATGATTCCATACCAATACAAGTAAGTAAAGACAGAAGGGAAAGTTCTTACAGTAAGAAATCCACTAATGTGGAAGGAATGATGGAATTAGAAAACTACTACTTGGCAACCATCAAATGACAACTGATTCAGACAAGAAAAATCAGTAAGATTTTTACTGAAAACAAGTAGGTAGAAGTTTTCCAGGGCAAGGAGACATATATAAAGTCTCTCTATGAGACACATATTAACTCTAGAAGAAAAACAGTAACATTATAAGAAGAAGCCGTTCTCAAGGGAGTGGGAGGAAATTTTGTCCTTCAGAGGCAAAATTTGTCCCTAGAGGACATTTGGCAATGTCCAATGACCAATGACCAATGTCATTCTGGTTGTCACAGGTGCGGAGTGTGCTACTGGGATCTAATGGGTAGAGGTCAGAGATAATGCTACACATCTGATAATGCACAAGACAACACCCCTCCCTCCCACCAATTCTCAACAAAGAATTATCCAGCCCCAAATGTTAATGCTACAGAGTTTGAAAAACCCTGCAGATACTACCCTTAGCCAAAATATGAAAGCACACTAGTGCTAACATCACTAGTAAAAGGATAAATGAACATCATGTGCTTCCTGATACGAGGCACTGAGAAGAACGTATCATTTTCATAATTTTCCTTTCAAAAAAAGCAAGTCCTATATCTAATCAAGAAGAAACATCGGATGAACTCAAATTAAGGGATGGTCTACAAAATAGCTGGCATGTACTCATCAAAAGTGTCAATATCGTGAAAGACAAACACATACTAAAGAACTGCTCCAGATTAAAAGAGGCTAAAAAGAACAAATGCAAAATCAGGCATTTTCTATTGCCAACCGAGTCAACAGGAAACACTGGAGTAACATCTGTAGATTCATACATAGTATTCTATCAATGTTTAATGTCCTGATTTTAATAATTATATTGAATTAATAATACAAAGGAATGCCTTTGTTTCTAGGAAACATACATGGCAGTATTTAGAGGTAAAGGGACGTGTGTCTACAATTCACTCTCAGAAGTGTGTGTGGAGCCAGGGGGGTGGGGAAGGGATGGAGAAGAACTAGAAAGAGAGTAAGTAAATATGGGAAAATGTTCACACAGGGATCTGGATAAATGGCATCAGGAATTCTTTGCATAATCCTTACAACTTTTCCCTAAATTTCAAATTACGTCAAAATTTGAAATTAAAAACAATGCTGCCATATATCAATACACTTCAAAAGCCTTCTTACAAAATATTAATCAGTTGAAAGAAAATTATTTGCCTCCTTGTTTTGTTCACCTACACTCTATTAAGTATTCCAGTGTATGGGTAGAAATAATATTCAAGAAAGAAGTATCATCATAAACCGTTCTTGGAGTCTGTTTTTGAACTACTTTAAAGAGAATGCCCTTTGGACTTTCTAAGTATTAAATAAATACTCTATGGTGAGTTCTAAAATTGGATCATACTTCACAAAAAATACTGTATCAGCTAATACTATTTTTCTAAAGTCACAAAGTGAATAATAAGGTTTTTAATCTCCTCAGAGTCCACAGGTCTAAACACCAGATCAACGTATTACTTCTTTCTTCTTCCTCCTAATGGCTACCTAAGCAAAATAATGTACAGTTCCCCCTTCTTCAAAATTCTATTTTTTAATACTTACTCATGATTTATTCTTCACAATTTACTAAATGCAAGTTATGAAATAACTAAGAGTTTTATGAACTATGTCTACCTGATTATCTCCTCCTGAAACAGGCTGTCAGAAAATGAATTATTATGCTCATTTTCAAACTAGATTCAGAGTCCACAATTACAATGCCATTTTACTTCATGCTAATACATCACCTGTATTTCTAGTAGAATGTCAAAACTTAGATGAGAAAATAATAACATAAATCTTAATTCAACCTGACATATAACCAAAAAAGGGGGGGCTTTGATAAATGTTAGGAAATTACAAATGACAGGCATATTAGAATGACTTACATGTCTGGGAGAAGACGAATCTGGTTGAACACTCTAAAAATGAAACAAAAGACAGATTAGAGTACTGAGGTCCTGATAACTTTATAAGCAACTTTCAAAATGCCTGAAATAATTTCAAGTAAAATATTCCACAGGTAAGAAATGACGTATATTAATTCTGTTGAAATATCAACAGCAGATGAAATATCAGCTCCAGATACTGGTGTCACTGTGGTATCAGAAGAGATCTCAAATCTTTCCAGACTCTTAAGCTTATTGTGGTTCATTAATAATTTGCATCGAGCTTAACATTACTGGGATGGCATATGGTAGATAGGTCCATCTTACTCCTTGGCTCATTACCACACTTATGTATAGTTAAGGTACAATGCTTTCTTATATGACACCACTCCATTCAGGAAATAAGAATTCTTATAAGAATTCTAGTTCTGTCCACAAGTTCCAAGCTTACTAAATAATTCCATAGTATTTGTATTAAGTATATTATCTGCATTTTCAAAATCATTTTCATTTTCAAAATCATCAAGTTAAGCTGTCTCCCTATAAGAGATTTTATCAACTTTCCATAAAAATGTTCAAAAGGTATTTTGCAGCTACTTCCCAAACCATGGCTTTTCTCCCAAGTTCCAGTTCATTTCCAATAGCATGCCAAACAATTTCACTAGGATGATCTCTTACCACCCTACAACTCTACAATGGACCAAGCTCACTGAGTTTGCCATGGCCCTTGGTTGGACAGGACACCAGGTAAGCTCTAAACTCTTTCAATTCCAACATCTGGCCTCTAAAAGTCTCTGTTCCAGTCCTTCTGTTTATGATATTACTATGCTTCTAGTCAACAGACTTTTAAAATCTAAAACACTTTTAAAATCTCAGTCATCTTTTACCTTTCCATATCTAACCAGATTAACCTGAGAACAGTGAACAAAGTTAACGTGGGACAAGAGACACTGAAGCAAGAATTTAAATAGTTTAAGGCAATAAAGGGATGGATTATAATGGTTAAAATGAGAATAAAGGCCAGAAATTTTGACAGAGAATCACCAAACTTAATCAAAGGGACTTGGTTACTTGTTATTACAGACTGAGGAGTAAGGGATAGAGGCTTTGGGATTTGGAGTCAGTACACTATTGTCAAAAGCATAGGAGCTGGGAAAGAAAAACATTTGTCAGAAGATGATGATGTGCTATTTTTACAATGTGCTCTTGGGGTGCCTGGGGGGCTCAGTTAAGGGGCCAACTTCGGCTCAGGTCACGATCTTATGGTCCATGAGTTCGAGCCCCGCATCAGGCTCTGTGCGGACAGCTCAGAGCCTGGAGCCTGCTTTGGATTCTGTGTATCCCTCTCTCTCTGCCCCTCCACCACTCATGCCCTGTCTGTCTCTCCCTCTCTCCCTCTCTCTCAAAAAAATAAACACTGAAAAAAATTTTTTTTTCTTAATGTGCCCAAATGCCTCTTAGTATGCCGAACTAACGCTTGTGAGAAGGATGAAGACTGTGACACATAAATCTAGACATAATCCATTCAAAGGGGTAACAAGGTAATAAAAAAGTGTGGCTTCACCGGCAAGGAGTTGCAGGCTGAAAAGAGGGCCAAATAAAACCCTAAAAAATTCTCATAAACTAAGAAGTAGTCCAAAGACCAAAGAAGCATCAACAAAGGTAAAGTTATCTGAAAAGTATGATGATCATCAGAGTAGCATAAAATCACAGATCAACAATGAGGATAATATAAAAATGGAAGATATTATTCACAAGGTACTAAATGATACAGCACTCACAAAGAATGAAGAATGAGAAAGGACATAAATTTAGCAATTAGAGATTATTAACTCATACACACTATAATAATTTCAGTAGTGCAATGAGGAAAAAAGTATGGATGGGTCTTGAAGAAATGGAGCAGTTGACACAGGCAGCTTATTCTAGAGGTCTGTCTATAAACAGAGAAAGTACAGCTGATGGTATAGACAGGGCTAAACAAATAGTTTTCAGGACGGGGGAGAAGTTCTGCCTGTTAGCATCTATTGGGCAAATAACCAATACAAGCAAGGGTTTTTCCTAGCTCAGAAAAAAAGCAGACAGTCCGCATTGACAATCCACACTGATTTTGCATGGAAGGTGAAACATTAGGTATTTGAGGCTTCCATTTTTAGAAAACTTAAAATTAATAACATTTGGCACTTTAGACTTACTGTTTAAATAGCAAAGGGATACCAATCTTCTGCTTTCAGTGTCCCAAAGAATATATATACTAGTCTTGACATTTCTCTATCTAACCGATGATGGATTTTAATAAATTTCACCTACAGAAGACTTAAAATATTGGGAGAGGTGGTGTTGGCATTTTTAAAATGAATTTCAAGAATGCTAATTCTTATTTTTAACAAATGCCCAAATATTTTAATACCCTTGCCAAAAAAAATAGTTCAAGGATACTTCATTTACATATCATTATTTTTTAAAGTTCGTATGTCCTTTGGTTCCCTATCTGATGTAAACATCTAGGGAAAATAAATTTAAAAATTAATATCTTACTATAATGCATGAATGATACAAAACCTCCGCCTTTTATCACAAATATCACTCCCTAGTCGGAAAACGAGAGAGATGCTGGTACCTTAAGTAGCGAGTATTGACAGCTGGCTATCACTAGGCAGAACTGGAAGACCCAGATATCTCTGAAGAAGCCTTGTATGAGAAGAACAGATCCCAAAAAAGCCACAAGAATAGCCAGGATGACAGCTAACACATTTTCCAGAATCTCACGATTTCTGTGGACAGAAAAATATACAAGTAAGTACATCATCAATGTAAGAAAGTAACTAGAGCGAAAAAAGGGAAGACCTCAATAACGAGTTGATACTGTCCTCGCGAACATGTTTTTTTGGTGCTGATTTTGAATAAAGTTTTGGATCATACTGAAAAAGAAACCAGTTTGTGTGGAAAATTAACACAAAATCTTATGTGCAAATAAAGCACGCTACAGTAAATTGTGAAGTTCTAATCATAATGCATAATTTTAATTTCTATTTTAAAAGTTTACTCGTAACACCTGTCACATTTTCTGCTACATTTGTGGCCAAATAACTAACCAACCTGAATAGCAAATAAAAGGAGACACACAAACAAGTTTGAAAAACAAAATCTCAAAACAGTCTCTAGAAAGTTAAATTGAAAAGTCGTTTTATAGGACAAAGTTTGTAACCACATTTTGACACCAATTGATTTCATTTTCCACATCTCGAAATCATCTGAAATAATCTCAAAACTAATTTACTAGAATTACTTCTATACAAGCTATTACATATATTGAGAATGAAGACAGTAATAAAAACCACCAATGCTGCCTCTATCAAACCTGCTGAGACAGTTCCAGATTTTATTAAACTGATGCTGCAAAGAAACAGTATGATGACCCAGATACTATATATAGCAATGGAGAGGATTTTTATATGTCACAGCAAAAAAGAAGAATCTATCTCAATTACTTCTTGGGGAAATTATATTCACAAAATGTTAAATATTTACTAAAAGTCTTATTTTTAAGAATCATTTACTGACATGGGAACACGCTCAGTACATTCACTATGCAAAGAAAGCAGGACACAAAACTATATGTATAGGAAGATGTACGCTGTTATTTAAAAGAATACACATATGGGTTAAAAAAGACGATATATCAAAATGACACTACTAACAATGGTCTTCTCTGGGTGGAAGGATTATGGTTTGCCCTTGTTGTCTTAAAATCTTCCTGCATACTTCATTTTCTAGAATGGGTAAAGAAATCTCTTTATAATCAAAAAAAATTTTTATTGTTTTTATTAAGTCAATGCCATATTTATAATCAACTGACCTAAAAAAATTAACAAGTATCTCTGTACTAGGTTTGTTTCATAGTTCTCTCAGATTAAAACAAGTTCAATAGTATTTTCAAATCAATAAACACTAGTATTTTCATTTGTTCTTATATGGCAGTTGTGGAATTCTAGATTTGTCAAATCCAATGATCCTTGGCCCTTCCACTACATTACATACTGTTTATAGTTCTCGTCACTCAACGTGTGCTCCCCTTCAGTCTCTGCTAGTTTTAAATTTTGATGAATCTAATTTACCAACTTACTCTTTTACTGTTTTTGGTGTCACATGTACAAAATTTTGCCTAATTCAAGGTCACAAAAATTTTTCTTCTACTATGTTTTGTTTTTTTCTAGGAATGTCATTGCTTTAGAGTATACATTTAGACCTAGGATCCATTTTGAGTTAATTTTTATAATTTTATAATATGGTACAATGTAAGTATAAAAGGGTTTTTTTCATATGAAAATCCAATGGTTACAGCACCATTTGTTGAAAAGCCTACCATTTCTCCACTTAACTGATTTGGGATATTATTTTGATGCCATTTAGGCCTGGAGTTTTTTTTTTTGTGGGCAGGTGTTTATCTACAATTTCTATTTAATAGATATAGTACCATTAAGGTAATGTACCATTCAGAATGAACTATGATGATTTATACCTGCCAAGAAATTTGTACATTGTCAAGTTTATTCACATACAGCTGATCATAATATTCTATTATCCATTTAACACCTGTAGAATCTGAAGTGACATCTTATCTTATTCCTGTTGCTGGCAATTTGCACTTTTCTCTTCTCTTTTTTTTCCCTAATCAGCCTTGCTAAAGGTTTATCAATTTAATTGAGTATTTGGTTTCCTCCATTTTTCTCTATTGCTTTTGTTTTCTAGCGGATTTCTGCTTTGTTCTTTGCTATTCTCTTTCTTTTGCTTACTTGGGCTTAGTGTATCCTTCTTTCTCTAGTTTCTTAAGATGGAAAGTGAAGTCAATGAATTGGCCTTTCTTCTTACTTAGGGCTATAAATTCTTCTGAGTAATGTGTTACTGTCAGCCCCAATACTGTGACATGTTGTGTTCATTTTTATTCAGTTCAAAATACTTTCTAATTTCCCTCCTAATTTCTTCTTTGATCCATGAGTTATTCTGAAGTATTATTTAGCTTCCAAATATTTAGGGACTTTCCAAGGTTCGTTTTGTTTTTAACTTATCGTTAATTCCACTATAGTCAAAGAACACACTAAGTATGACGTGAATCCTTTTAAATTTGACCCTTATTTTATGGACCAGAATATGGTTTATCTTGGTAAATCTTCCAGCTGCACTTAAAAGAATATACATTTTGGGGCGCCTGGGTGGCTCAATCAGTTGAGCGTCCAACTTCGGCTCAGGTCATGATCTCACTGCTAGGGAGTTCGAACCCCACGTCAGGCTCTATGCTGACAGCTCAGAGCCTGGAGCCTGCTTCGGATCCTGTGTCTCCCTCTCTCTGTGCCCCTTCCCCACCTGTGCTCTGTCTCTCTCAAAAATGTATAAACTTTAAAAAAAAAAAAAAAAAAAAGAATGTGTACTTCATTGTTCTGAGTGGAGTACCATAAATGTCACTCAACTTAGGTTGGCTGCTGGTATTGTTCAAGTCTGCGATGTCCTTGCTGATCTTCTACATATTTATTCTAATCAATTATTCAGAGAGGGGTATTGAATTACACCATAATGTGAATTTGTCTATTTCTATTTGTCTTTTTTTTTTTTTTTTTAATTTATCTATTTTGAGAAAGAGAGAGAGAGAGAGCGCGCACGCGCGCGCCAGAGAGGAACAGAGAGAATCACAGTCAGGCTCCACGCTGGCAGGGCAGGGCCTGACATGGGGCTCGAACTCATAAACCATGAGATCATGACCTGAGCTGAAACCAAGAGTCAGATGCTCAACCGACTGAGCCATCCAGGTGCCCCTGTTTCTATTTCTATTAGCTTTTATTTTGAAGCTCCGCTTTAAGTGTAAAAACATACAGGATGATTGAATCCTATGAATGAGCTGACCCCTTATCTTTATAAAAATGACTTTCTTTATCCTTAGTAATATTCTTTGTTCTAAAATCTACTGTGTCTGACAATAATACTGCTATTCCAGCTTTACTTTGATTAGTATCAGCATGGTATATCTTTCTCAATTCTTTTACTTTTAACCTATTTCTGCCTTTATATTTAAAGGCAGAAATTTCTTATAGACAACAAAGTTGGGTCTTGCTTTCTTCCCCCAATTCAATTTTTGACTTTTTCTATCTTGTCATTTATTTTCTATCTGTCGATATGTTCTTGATCTCTTTTCCTTCTTTTTCTGCCTTCTTTTAGGTTAAAAGAGTAATTTTTATGAATCCATTTTATCTCCCTTTTTAACTTCCTAGCTGGAACTCTTACATTTTAGTGGTTGGTTTATTAGGATTATAACATACATTTTTATGGCAGTGTGCTACGAGTGATGTTATACCAGTTCATATACTCACATAAGAAACTTAACAGCAGTATGCTTTTATAGGTCCCTTCCCAGCCTTATGGTACTGTCATGCACTTTACTTTTACTTGTCATAAATCACACAATACATTGTTAATGTTTGTTTTAAAGATCCAATTATTAAAGGGACTGAATTAGCAAGAAAAAAAAATATCGTATATTTAGCCATGTAGTTAACTTACCATTACCAGTGATCCTTGTTCCTTTGGGTAGGTCTGTATTTCCATTTGGTATTATTTTCCTTCTGCCTGAAATATATCCTTCAACATTCTGCGGTGTGGGTCTGCCTGCAAAACTTCTCTGTTTTTTGCAGTCTGAAAATGTCTTTATTTCATCTTCACTTTTAAAAGATACTTTTTCTGGGTAAAGAATTCTAGGTTGACAGTTTTGTGGGGTTTTTTCCTTTCAGTACTTAAAAAATGTTGATCCACTTCCTCTTACTTGCGTTATTTCCAACAATAAATCTAATGTCTTCCTTATCCTTATTCCTCTGTACAACAGTCTTTTTGTCCTCTTGCAGTTTTTAAAGATTTTTACCACAAGTTTTGAGCAATTACGTGCTCTGGTGTAGTTTTCTTCATGTTTCGTGTGCTTGGGGTTCATGAACATTTTTGAATGTGTATGTTTAGCATTTTCATCAAATTTGGAAAGTTTTCCCAACTCTTCTTCCAAATTTTTTCTCTCTTCCTGTCTCTTGAAGTTGTCTCACAGCTTACTTTCATTTTATTTATATTCTCTTTTCACTGGGGGACAGGAGTGGGAGAGGACTCTTTTCTCTGTTTCATTTTGGATAGTTTCTATTGCTATGCTTTCAAGTTCACTAATATTTTCTTCTGTGATATCTAATCTACCATTAATCCCATCTGTTTTATTTTTCATCTCTCAGACATTGTAGTTTCATCTCTATAAAAGAACTATTTCAATAAGTTTGTTTTGGATCTTTAAAAATATCTCTCATGTCTCAACTTTTTTAACACAGAGTACAATTAATACTTATTTTTTACTTATTTATTTTTAATATTTATTTATTTTTGAAAGAGTGCAAGGGGGGAGGGGCAAAGAAAGAGGGAGACAGAGAATCTGAAGCAGACTCCACGCTGTCAGAGCAAAGTCTGACGTGGGGCTCAACCCCACAAACTGTGAGATCAGACATTCAACCCACTACCCAGGTGCCCCTTGTTTTAATTTTTTTTCAAGTTTATTTGAGAGACAGAGAGACAGAGAGACAGAGAGAAAGGGAGAGAGAGAGAGAGACATAGAGAGGGAGAGAGGGAGGGAGAGAGGGAGAGGAAGTGCTTGTGTGTGTGAGACCAGAAAAGAGACAGGGAGAGAGAAAGGGAATCCCAAACAGGTTCTGTGTTATCACAACAGAGCCCCATGTGGCTTGATCTCAGGCACTGTGAGATCATGACCTGCGCTTACATCAAGAGTCAAATGCTTAACCAACTGAGCCACCCAGGCATCCCCAATTATACTTTTTTTTAATGTCTTTGACAGCTAATTCTAACATCTGTGATAATTATAGGTTGGTTTCAATGGATTCATTATTGCCCTCATTATAAATCATGTTTTACTGCTTCTTTGCATGCTTTGTTATCTTTGGTTGGATGCCGCTGTGAAAAGTTTTAGGTGGTTAACAATTTTTAGATTTCTGTTAAGTCTTCTTGAACTTTGTTACGCTACTTGGAAACAGTTTGATCATTTTAGGTCTTGCTTTTATGACTCGTTTGGTGGGTCTGGAGCAGTGCTCATGCTAGGGCTAATTACTGCCCACTTTTCAGGCAAGACTTTCCTGAGTACTCTACACAATGCACCATAAAACTTGAATTATGAGTTTTTTCATTCAGACAGATGGGAACAGACACTACCTGTCCCTGTGTGTCAGACACTGTTCCTCTATTTCTTTCACATGCTTCTCCCCTGGCCTCAGGTAGTTTCCTCACATACACTCACGTGTCAGTGCTCTGCTGACAGCTGTGGAGACCTGCTGTGGAACTCAGAGGTACTCCCTGTGAACAGCAGTCCTCTTTTTGACATTCTGAGCTGGATGCCTTGGTCTCCCTGGACTCGTGGCTCCATTTCCTCAACTCAGGAAGTCTGCTGGGCTCTATTTCAGTACCTCCTCCCCGTGTTGCAGCCGGCGACGAAGCCTGGAAACTCCCTTAAGGCAGTAAGCTGGGGCAATTGTAGGGCTCACAGAACGTGTTTCATCTCTTGGGAATCACTGTCCTTTTTGTTGTACCTCCGATGCCTTAAAAACCAAGGTTTTGTGCATTTTTCTTCTTTCATTGTTTCAGATAGGAGAGTAAACCCAATCTTTTTTACTTCCGTCAACAGGAAGCACCAAGTTTTAATAGACTAATATTGTTCATTATTAAGACCAGTGCTACGAAATAGGGAAATACAAAGAGTGCTCTAATACCTTTTATATTTAGAGTCATATTACCTATAACCTTGTGATCACTAACACCTCCAATTCTCTGGCTTTTAAGTAGAGTTCCATGATTCTTATTGACAATAAAAAAGATTTCTTGGTATAAACATATTAAAATTGCCACAAAAAATTTTTTAATGAATTCAAGAGAGTCAATGTTTGCGAGCCCTACTAAGTTAAATTTTATGTCAAAAAGGACCAAAAGAGAAAACATTTTCCAACTTGGTAACCAAGTAAAAACTTCAATGGGAAATTGGGGACATTTCAATTTAAAAATAAAATCTACATACATCTTTAATATCACACCACATTCTCACCTATCAAACAGGGCCAAAAGTGTGAGTCTGTCAAAGTTAATGCCGATCCACAGCTGGGGTAAGATCCAAAAGCGGTAATAGTGTTTAACCTTTTGAGCAGCTTCTTCGGTTGGACCATAAGTCGCTGCCAAGTCAGGGCTGAGGTCAATGTCTTGCTGCTCCAACAAATCTGTATCGATCGTCAATAGTCTGTTCAACCGAATCTGTGGAAGAGAGAGCTAAAAGAAAGTCAGCACTGAAAGGCTTAAAACATCTTTACTCAAGTCATGATTCAAGGGCTACTTAATCAGCTTGCGGATTATCTAAGCCCCCTCAATTCTCTACACTCCTTATGGATATTTTATGATCATTAAAAACTACAGAAGGTGTTAATAGGACATATACTTAAAGCAAACTAATCAATAGGTTTTTAGAAAAGTTGTACTGGGAAAAATATTCAGAATCTTTACATGTTATGACTGTATAGCCAGCAAATCTATAAAAATCACTTACAGTGTATCATTAGTGGCTTCCCTTCTCCCTGTCACGTTTGTGGCCTTGTCTCATTAAGCTATACTAAATCTAAGCTCCTCTGAACTGGGTTCAATGCTTTCAATTCTCATTTCTTCCTACAGTCTCTATCACTGTAGTTTTCAAATCCCTCCTACATCTCCTTCACTTTTGTTGTGTTTTGGCAGGCTGCTCACCTGACGCTATACAGGAAATTACCACATTACATCTCTTAGCTTTAACTCATCCATTCAACAGTTCACCAGTTTTCCCTTCCTCTGAAAGAGTCTAGGGGGTCCCTGGGTGGCTCAATTGGTTCAGTGTCTGACTCTTGATTTCAGCTCAGGTCATGGTCTCACAGTTCATGGGACTGGGCCTCCCACAACGTGCTCTGCGCTCACAGTGAAGAATCTGCTTGGGATTCTCTCTCTCCTTCTCTCTCCGCCCCTTGTTCGTGCGTGCTCATTCTCTGTCTCTCCCAAAAATAAATAATCATTAAAAAAAAATTTTTTTTAATTAAATTGAGGGGTGCCTAGGTGGCTTAGTCGGTTTAGCGTCTGACTTGGGCTCAGGTAATGATCTCATGGCTCATGAGTTCGAGCCCCATGTTTGAGCCCCTGGAGCCTTCTTCGGATTCTGTGACTCCGTCTCTGTCTGCTCCTCCCCTGCTCACTCTCTCTCTCTCAAAAATAAACATTAAAAAATGTTAAAAATAATAACATAAATAAAAATAAAAATGAAAGAGTCTAAAATTTCCCAAATGTAGCACAGCCCTAGTCAGCATTTCACTATCCCAAAGATCCCATACTATTTAACAGTGAAAAACAGACAAAAAAAAATAATCATATCCCTATTCTTTACTTTCCTATGAAATTTCCTGGAATACACGCCAGCAAAAAAGCAGAGACAACCTTTACTTTTCAAACACATATGTGGGAAACAGTAAAGAAAACTTGCTTCCTATAAATACCGTAGCCATTTTTATCCCTAAACACTGGTAAATACCTCCCCAAACACTTTTTTTCTTATCCTCTATGCCAGGGTTTCTCAACCTTGGCACTACAGGTATTTTCAGCCAGATAATTCTTTGTTTTAGGGGCTGTGCTGTCCACTGTGCGATGTTTTATAGTATCCCTGGCTTCTATCCAGCAGATGCCAGCAGCATTTCTCCTAGCTGTGACAAACGGAAGTGTTTCCAGACATTGCCAAATGTTCAAAACCACTGCTCTATGCCAACTCACATCTATGGTCTTAAAACCCAGCTCACAACTAATCATCTCCAGGAAGCCACTAATAATTAATCCCTTTGGCACACTTATTTATATGTGTCTCTTATGCGTTCCACATAAGAATTTCATCTGTTTTGTCTTTTCTAAGTTCAATATAAACATCTTGAAGACAAAAGCAGTGTTATCTTTTTAAAATATCCCCACTGTATCTCACACGGCATATTTTTTTACACAGTGATACCATCACTAAGCTTGCTACACACATACTGGCGTGTGAATAACTAACAGTTACGTCAGATGATATTCAAAATCATAATTTTCAAAATGAAGTTTTAAAATGGCACAGATTATAACACTGGTCAGTAAATGAACCTTTATATAACCTCAAAAGTGTAATTACTGATTCATACATAGCTAATTACATTTCACGGTGTTTTAGGTTTGTTTACTAACAAGGGACTTACAGGAAAAGATCCACGAGGAGACAGCAAAGGTGATTTTGCCATAGTTTACAACAAAATTGACATTTTATAACTTCAATTTTTCTGATTTGTGTAACTAAATCTGAATACACATCGTTTTCTAAAAGTAAAGGAAAACCTACCACATCATGTGGATAAAATCGAACTGAGGTAGAACTGGATACATGAGAATCCGTGTCACTAAAATAAAATGAAAAAAACTTCAGGAAATAAACAGCTTGTCAAGGAATAGAAGGAAAAATACATCTTTTAACAATGAGATGACATTTATATTCTTCACTGTTCCTTGTACTTCAAAATGCGAAATAGCATTTTCCTACAGGTGTAATTAAGAGCACAGCCTCTGGGCCAGAGTATCTATATTCAAATCTCTTCATCAGCTAAATGAGATCTTGGACAAGTTATCCAGCCTTTTAAACCCCTCAGTTTCCACATCACTAACACAGGAGAATAATGCCTCTGTCACAAAGTTCTTATGGAGAGTGTTTAAGAAAGCAATTAACATATTTAAGCTATAATATAACAGCCTAGAATGTGACAAATCTGTTTCCACAGTCAAGTTTCATTTTTGAAACTTGAGACCTTACCACATTTATGCTGTAAGGAATCATTCTTAAATTATATTAAACATAATTGTTTCCATTGCTCCATCTTTCTATTGTTTCTACTATTACAAAATCATCTAACACTCCAAGCTGGTCATTCTCAACAGGATCAGTTCCAAAACTGAACTAAAGGAGCTGAGTGAGTATAGTTTTCTACATGTTCTATCTTTTCAGTGGATTAAGCTAAGTGACTACAAGATCCTATTGCTTTAAAAGACCCCTATGGGGCACCTGGGTGACTCAGTTGGTTAAGCAGCTGACTTTGGTTCAGGTCATAATCTCACAGTTCATGGGTTTGAGCCCCGCGTTGGGCTCTGTGCTGACAGCTCAGAACCTGGAGCCTGGTTTGGATTCTGTCTCCAACTCTCTCTGCCCCTCCCCCACTCGCACATTCTCTCTCAAATATAAATAAGCATTAATAAAAAAAAAATTAATGGCCCCTAAAAACTTTAAAAAACTAAGTGAACTGCCCATACATACATGTGTAATATTTAAACAGGTGTGTCCCATTATTAAATAAGTCCTAAAATAGGAATCAAATAAAATGACCCCTGTGAAAAAAATGAGCTAATCAGTCACTAATGGACCTCAAGGCAGCAACCTGAATAGATGAACAATATTAGAATTTAAGAAAAAAATCTAATACATTCTATATTAGAACTGATTATGCCATCAAGATTTCTAGTTCTTATTTGCTTTTCTCCTAATTTCTCCCTTATCTTACAGTGTAATTTCTTCCTAAGGGAAGGAGAGAAAAGAAACTATAACAGATGACCCATGTTTTAAGAAATTCCTCTTTCTTATTGGTGATAAATAAATTTCAAAACACAAGGAAAGATGATCATGTAAAAAGACACGATCAAAAAACCCTTATGAAGAAATAAAATTTTTCAATTACAAAGAGACCTGATGAGTTTGAAGTTAGTAGTATAATTATTTTCCTAATAAGCTTTAAGAAGCTTTTTTTATACATCATGCAGTGTGTGTGTGTGTGTGTGTGTAGCACGAAATCCAGAGTTAAACTTGAAATTGTGGGAAACCACTATCCCACTGTAAGATCCATAGGGAATTCTTACTTAATTATTTAAAATACAGAACAGCTTTCATTTTAAGAATAATGCTTTCGGGGCGCCTGGGTGGCGCAGTCGGTTAAGCGTCCGACTTCAGCCAGGTCACGATCTCGCGGTCCGTGAGTTCGAGCCCCGCGTCAGGCTCTGAGCTGATGGCTCAGAGCCTGGAGCCTGTTTCCGATTCTGTGTCTCCCTCTCTCTCTGCCCCGCCCCCGTTCATGCTCTGTCTCTCTGTCCCAAAAATAAATAAACGTTGAAAAAAAAAAAAATTTTTTTAATAAAAAAAAAAAAAAAAAAAGAATAATGCTTTCTTTTTTTCCAGAGCAATAAATTCTACCTTACATCTTCGGAGACAAATACACAATGACAAAATTATTTAAGCCAATACGAACAAATATTTTCAAAAGCACTTTTCCATCGCAAGGCTTCAAAGCTTTAAACATGGCAAATATATGCAAGTACATACGCTCTCCTAATAGGACTTCACACATACCAGATATTAGATGCTCTTCTTGCTGCCGGTTCAAAATTCACAAGTGACATATCACAGCCACCAGTCTCATAAAGCGTAGAAGAGAACTTACCTAGCAAATAAATGATTTTTTTAAAAAGCCATTAGAATACTCAAAAATTTTCCATCATAAAACACTAAATTTCAAACTTGTTACAATTGAAGAAAATGTACTGTCACCTTTTTCCAAAATATTCTAAAAACAATGATCTGCATGTAATTCAGCATGATGTGAACTGAAAAGGAATGCTGAACAGTGGGGCAAAATGTCAACATACATAATCAGGTTTTAACAGTAAGGGATTTAAGTCAGCTTTGCAATCCAGTTTCCTCTTTTCTCCTCTCAGGGCATTCTCAATTGAAGTAATCACATGAATGAATTAACGTTGTTTAAAAGTCACCTGACCACTTTGCAAGTGGTGAGTGGCCATTTGGAAAGCCGCTTAAGTTTGAAGATCACTCAAACTGCAAGACAGCAAATTTCTGAGATTACCTTCACAGAGTTTTGGGTTCATTTCTTGTTTTGGGTTTTTTTAACTCAACATACAATGTAATATTAGTTTCAGGTATAAAATTTAGTTATTCATCACTTACATACAACATTCAGTGCTCATCACAACAAGAGTCCCCTCCTTAATACCCATCATGTTGTGTTTTTTAAGAAAAAATGAAGTGTCCAAATGGATCTAAGAAGTTCAATGAATGAAGTATAATGTTGGTAATAATTAAATCACAGTATTTAATGAACATTACTGGTTGCATGAGTCTACAAGAACTCTCTGAAAAAATTTAAGAACACCATTAGCTGTAGCCAAATATCTCCACAAAGCCAATAAAAGGTTTGGAAATGATATTGGTTGCAAAGGAATGCAGGTTTAAAGAACTCTTAAAATGAACTCTATAAGATGTAATGATTTCTGATAGTGAAATTTTAAAAATCTGGAGACTGTCTGAAATGCATTCCTCACCTTGACAACCTATGTTAGACCTCTCAGTAGTGGGTAGGGAGCAGAAATAAATGAATATAAATTTCCAGTAGGACAATGAAATGAGGTATAGAACTCTGCAACCATTTGGGACTTAGTCCGGGCTGCATCTTGATTGTTTATACATAGGAGGAATCTTCAGGGCAATTTCAACTAGATGGTAGGGCTAAAAGATTTCTCTTCCATGACTACAATGTAAACATGGTATGACCATTTTTATATAAGTGAAATGCCTGAAAAGTAACAATAAAAGATCCCAGGATGTACTAATACTATAACTAAGGGTTTGCAAAACATCTCAACAATCACTTCATACTTTAAAAGGATCAGAATCTGAGAAGTTCTTTATTAAGTAGGATTATTTGAGTGCTTTCTATGGATCAGACAGAATATGTATTTTATTATGGTGTTTTCTGTAGTAGCATTTTTTTTTCTCAGAAAAATATATTCTTATGACAAATGAGAAAAAAAGCATTCTGTGAAATGTTTATTTCATTTGCTGTTTTTCAAGGGAGGATTATTCAGCATGTGGATTATCTAAAACTCTGCTTTTTGTCACCTCCACGTGCCACCCTCATCTTCTAGTCATGAATCATTCACTCAGCACTTCTAACACAAACCAGATTCATCAACTAAAATGAAATAATACAAGCTGTCCATCTGGCTTCTTCTTAGGTGTAGTGCTGAAATACTTTTTGAAGTGGTACAGTGGCTGCAGAAATTGTTAGCGAAGAAAAAACCTAAACAAAAATACTGGCTTGACCGAGATCTCAAAATTATTTTTAAATTGTAATTTTTTATGTTGTGCTCTTTCCTCATTTATCATGGCAAATGAAAAATTGGCTGTGCTACTATAAATAGCTTACATTAATAGAAAAAAGAAACATCAGATCAAAATTACACATGGCATAAATGCAGAATAATTATAAACCCATGCAAGTGAGTAAATCACAGAGTAACAAAGAGCTAGGAGGGCTTGGAAGCTATGTGTGAAATCCAGTAAAAATGGAATGGATAAACATAAGTATTTATGTCATATAATGTGTATTTTACAAATAATATTATATTCAATAGAATTTAAATTATTGGAATATATTCTGAATATATTTAAGCATTCCGTGTAATTTTTAATAATACAAGTTCTGTTTTGGGAATACTGAATATGACATTTATATGCAACTGAAATCAACTAAAGATATTATTCTTTGTAATTATGAAATGGAACAAAGAACCTTAAGTCATTATACAACTATACTCTCCTTTATGTATAGATGTCTGTTATAAAATGTAAATAGCTGCACATTAAATAAATAGAAACGTAAAAAGAAAGCACGCCCTTCAGAAAGCTCTTTACACAAAGAAGGCTGGAAAAATTGAGTAGTTTTATTACTATATAAATCAAGAACTCTGAATGCTTCTTTACAAAGCAATGACTAACAAGTTATAAATTTTAGAAATTTAGCAAAGCATAAAACATGTCTATGAAAAAGGAGGCTATAATTTTAACAAATGTGCAATGACTTCAACTTTGATTTATTTCCCCCCTAAGAGGCTTTGTCTACATACTAATTTTAAGAACACGTTCAGGTCAAAAAAAAAAAAAAAAGGAACATGTTCAGGTCAGAAAAGGCTGACAGTGTATTAAGGCTTCCTGGTATTTTCCTAATGTAACTCCACCAAAATAACAGACTCTAGGTCTCCTCTTGTACCTTTGGGCCTGGCAACTAGTTAGCCCTTGAAAAGAAACAAATTTTATTCAGAGGATAAACAACTCAGGAAAAATTATACTAGAAACCGTTTAGCTTAAGGTCTTGGTGAAAAACTTCGTAATATTTTAAGGTATAATAGTCTACTAAAAGCATCTTCAAAAATAACCAAAACAGAAATAAGTATATATTACTATTGGTTAAATAAAGATTAAGAATATCCTAAATCTGTACGAAGATCCTCAGCATACATATCAAATTTATATATATCTCATTTAAAATCAAAACCATGATGTAGTTACCCTTTAGATCCAAAGTAAAATGTGCCCTTATTAATAATCCTATTTTTATATTATCCTGTATCAAGAAAAATACTGTAAGTATTGACTTTTTCTGATGAATATAAATTGAGAAGAACAACAATGAAATGTGTCCTTCTCACATGAATTATGATTAAAAACTAAGTCATCTCAACATATTCAACTCCCAGGTAATAATTAGTTATATCTAACAGAATGGCTCTGTCATGATTTTAAAAGAAAACAATTACTTTCTGACAAAATAAGACTGGCGGCTGGAATTTTAGGCTTAATGATATTGGCCATGAGATAGCATCTAGAGATTAAGGGGGGAAAAAGTTAATGTACCTGGTATTTCTCAGTTTTGAACATTGAATTGATTGCTATTGCCTATAAACATTACATTTTATTACACAAAACCATTTTTTTTTTAGGTAGGAGAATTTCAAATAACCAAAAATCAATAAATAAGTGATGAATAACAGGAAGATGATAAAACGAGATACTGATTTAAAGAAAAGGACCCTTGAAACACTTCCCTGAAGCCATGAATAGTGCAGCAGATAAACTCAAAATAGACAGGGGCAAGACCCTGATAAAAGACATGAGAAATTAATGGTATTCTCTAACTCCTAAGTCCTAGCTACACAGCACAAAGTGTATAAAGATTGTTCACTCGACAAAAAAACTCCTGTTGCATTCTTGATGCTACTCATTTTACTCATGTACCTTGGCAAGAGGTAGTTACTAGGACAGATCTTCTGTAGGATTCTTTTTTTTTTTTTTTTTTAATTTTTTTTTCCCAACGTTTATTTATTTTTGGGACAGAGAGAGACAGAGCATGAACGGGGGAGGGGCAGAGAGAGAGGGAGACACAGAATCGGAAACAGGGTCCAGGCTCTGAGCCATCAGCCCAGAGCCCGACGTGGGGCTCGAACTCCCAGACCGCGAGATCGTGACCTGGCTGAAGTCGGACGCTTAACTGACTGCGCCACCCAGGCGCCCCTAGGATTCTTCTAATCCTCCCAGTACCAACAACAGAGGCCTTGGAAATTTCTTGATTTCCTTCTGTGGACCCTCCTCCCACTAGGCCTAATCCTGGTACACTGTTAATTGAGGTCTCTCTTCTCAAGTATTAACTCTTAGGGCAGGCAAGGGTTATGAGAGCAAAGCCAGACACAAGGGAAGCAGCTTTATAAAGTGCTTTTTTAGAAGGCTCTTGGAGGACCACATGCATCCACATGGGTAAGTTAAGTGCTCTACAAAAAGTGCTTATTTCTGATGTGATGAGTACTGTGTTCACAATGCTATCTCAATGAATGTGGTAGAGAAAGACTTAAGACTAGTGCCAGTTTCTTGGATGGTGCCACCCTTATTATCACGAGTGGTACCTATGAGTCTCCGAGAAAACGTGAGTTTTCACCAGACAGAAATGACTCATTTTATTTCTGCGTATAGTACAGGGTGGGCAAACTTTTTCTATACAAGGCCAGAAAATAAGTATTTTAGGCTTTGTGGGTCAGATAGTTACAACAATTCAAGACTATCACTGTAGCATGAAAGCAGCCACAGAAAACATGTAACATAAATATGTATTTATTTTACTTTATTTATATCAACAAGTATCAAGCTGGATGGATTTCACCCACAGGCCATAGTTTGCCAACCCCTCTCTTGGACCAAAAAAATGTACTAGAATGGTAATCAAGGCACTATGCTACTTGTAATTAAATTTTTCAATACTGAGGGGTGCTAGGGTGGCTCAGCTGGTTAAGCTTCCAACTCTTGATCTTGGCTCAGGTCATGGTTTGGGAGATCAAGCCCCATGTCACACTGACAACATAGAGCCTGCTTGGGATTCTCTGTCTCCCTCTCCCTGTGCACATCCCCTGCTCACTCTCTCTCTAAATAAATATTAAAAATAGACTTAAAAAAATAAAAAAATAAAAATAAATGTTTCAATACTGAGAACCAATCCTTCTTCCTGGGATGTTCACCACTGTGCTAGTTTTTGTTTTTGTTTTTTTGAACAAGAGAGTACAGAAAAGAACAGGTATGAGAAGAAAAGTTGGTTTAGAAGAG